TCCAAATGTTATACGTAGGAGCGTTGCTGGTACAATGGATCAAGAAAATTGGTATTTACGCCTGACCTTCCGTGGTATATCCTTGCACTAGAGCAGATTGCTAGACTGGCACCACAAGCGCAAAGTGGTGTGGATCCCTTGACTTGGCCAGAGGACCATTATTGGTCCATACCACGGCGCTCTCAAGTCGACAGAGACTCCGCCCAGGGTGTAGCGAGGAGCGAACTAGCCAGAGATGACTTCTGGCCCCGGGTGCTGAAGGCCTGGCGCCAGCTACCGTTGCCAGAAAAAACCCTGCCGAGTAGATGGGAAGAGGTGATGAGGCAACCCCTCTTCGGCAACAAAAATATTACTGATAGGAATGGGAGGGTCCACCGTGGTTTGGACCCCCCATGGAGCAGCTGGGTCAAAAACGGCATAGTGAGGATCAAAGATATATGGGACCCGACGAACAGGGACTGGAAAACGGTGTCACGGTTGAGGGCCCAAATGAGGTATTGCCATGATATTGAAAGGAACTCAGAAACACTGATCTTTGATGTCCCTCTTGACTGGGTGTGTATTCTTCAAAAAGGACCGCAGTTGGCGGAGGGTGACTGGGTCGCAGTCCCGGATGACACGCAAAGCGTTGGTAAAGTGGTGGAAGAGCGGGCAAACGAATCTTTGGTCAGCCTCTTCCATAAGGAAAAGGACAATGTTCTCACTAGGTACGCTCCGGATGCGGTGAGGTGGTGGAGGAACAAGGAATTGCACAGAATTTGAGTACTGAGACAAAATGATGAATGAACCGCATTTCTCCCCAGAACACCCCTCGCTGAACTCCCCTTCGACCCGGAGAAGTGGTACTGGCCGCATGCATGAAGAACGTCAGCCAACCCGAACATAAAGTTCTTCAGTTTGTCAGTGAAGGCCACTTACCGGCTGCTGCAGCCAAAGGTGAACCTTAAAGAGATTGTGAAAGCCCGCTGGATAGCCCATCTGAACTTAAGACAGGAGAACATCCGCCCTATCCGGTGGTTCTCGACCATGAGGTCCAAACCGGCTAAATTTGCCTCGCTGCAGTGACAGATTGAGCACCGTTGCCTCCCGACAAATAATTGGCTGATATATCGCACGTACCTAGAACAGAAGGGCCTGGCACTCCCCTGGTGTAAATCCTGCCATAATGCCTTTCTCTCCCGTAAGATCCCGGAAACTATAGAACACATTTTCCTACAATGCCCAGGGGCGGTCCTCACTTGGCATTGGTGGGATAGGATATGGAGCCTCCTGGGCACTGGATCGGCTTGGCCATGGGACTGGAGGGCGCTGCTCTATGAAGCATGGACCCCCCCCACGGACAGCGATTTTGAAAATAACATGTTCAAAATTGGGAGGAGAGTCGTTATTTGGGCACTTTGGAGGAAGCGCTGCACATACACCATTGAGGGAGTTCGCATGGATGGAAAGGAAGTAACAGAAATAATAAAACAGTATATACAGCAAGAGCTCCTCTCACGCTGGCAAAAGGTCAAGAATCAACTACAGACATATCACTCAAAGAAAGACATTACACAAGCAATTAATCAATTCTCAGGGGACTGGCTGGGTAACGAAAAAGGGGGCTGGATTGCCTATATTCGATGGGAGGATGGACAATCTTCAGGGCAGGAGCAGGAAGACTTCAGGAGGGACTACTGCCTCTGCTTCAAGGAATGGACTAAATTGGACCAAGTCGTGCCGTTGCGCTTACCCTCAGTGTTCCCCGACCCGTTCCCTCCCCATCAACTGTCTTTGGTGGACATGCAATGGTACGGTGCAGAATAAGCGAAAGGACACAGGACAAGGAGAGGGAGAACCGCTGGGTGGAGCCGCCTGGTGTGCTGTTTGATTCCAGGCAAAGAATGCACGGGTGAAGGCACGTTGATGGAGTGGCCACCTACACACCGTGTTACCTAGTCGCTTTTTGGAAGTTTTTGCAGGCATAGCACTTTTTCTGGTCAGATGGGACAGTGCCTGCGCAGTTAATCCCCGGTAATACGGGCAATCAATGCTGGCAGGAGACATCATGAAAATCTCAGTGGGACGCTGGACCCGTTTTCCAGCAGGTGCTGCTCCCCACCAATAGATTGGAGCAACCAGGCGGCCCGCTAGGAGGGGATGCTCATATCACTCCCCCTAGCGTGGTCACGTGGTTTAAAAACAACAACCAAAAGAAAAACAAAAAAAAAATTCCTAGGGGGGGCGCTTTTACTCTGGGCAGCAATAGTCAGGTTCCTTTTCGAGTGGCAAATCAAAAAACATGAAGACATGCCCACTTTGGTTACCATTTCCCCATTGTGGCTGGGAGTTCCTGCTGCCCCTTTGCTTACTGCACACACCTTCGATATACTGTTTACCCAGTTTTTTGTTGTCCACATCTGCTCAGGATTTCTTCTTATCGGTATTCGTTTCAACAAAAGGGGATTTTGTCTCTATCAATCTAAACTCATAAGTTGCACAGCGGGTCTCGGAAGACGCTCCCTTTCTTCGGGGCCCAGAGTCCACGTTGTATGACCCATCCCACATAGTGCAAGCCAACCCACTTAGTATCACCCAGGCCACATAGTACCACCCTGCCCACATAGTACCACCCAGTCCACAATGACTCCACATAGGATTGACCGGCGCACATAGTACCACCCAACCCTCATCCCACAAAGTACTGCCCAATCCACTTGGTATGACCCACCCCACATGGTACGACCCAGCCCACGTAGTATCACCCAGGCCACATAAAACTGCTCCGCCCACATACTACTGCCTGGCCGTGCCCAGGGCTGAAAATTGTGGCTGATGTTGGCCACGTGTTTTGTTTTGTTTTTTTTCGTGGCCATGTTTGTGTTCTTTTTTTTTTGTGTTTGGGAGAGTGCGTGTTTGTACCATCCAGTCCACATAGTAGTATGGCCTGCCCCGCATGGCGCCGCCCGGTCCATTGGTACCATCCAAACCATGTACGTAGCATCACGAAGGCCAATAACAACGTTCAGCCCACATAGTACCATGGCTGTGCCAAGGGAGGAGTTTTGCCTAAGCCTCTGTTTTCCCTTTCTGTGGCCGTGTGTGTGTGATGTGTGTGTGTTTATTGCTGTGTGTGTTAGTACCATCCAGTCCGCTAGTATTACCCAACCCCCATGGTACTGCCCAGTTCACATTATACCGCCCAGCCCAAATAGTATCAGCCACGCCATAAGATACCCCTTGGCCTGCACAGTACTGCAGGGCCATGCCAAGGGCGGGGTTGTGACTAACTTTGGTCATGTTTTTTTTTTTTTTTTGTAGCTTGGTCATGAGTCAATCCACATACATGCGGAACGTTGACGAGAGAGAGGCCCATGGTCCAGAATCAGGAGGTGGACATTGTTTGTTTGTTTGTTTGTGTGTCTAAGGGCTGTTCTTTTTTTTTTTATCTTGGTTTCACCGAATAGATGGCAGAGGTCCACACTACCCAACTCATGGCAAGGGTACGAGGTTGTTTTTTTCCAGACAGTAAGACTAGCCACCTTCTGGTAATATGGAAGCGCAGATGTCAAGGGACGATTGACCGCATTGCAGTGACCACCCAAGTGGGATGGGAAGAAGTGTTATACGTAGTAGAAACCGCTTATAGGGGACGTTGGAAAAGGACCCGTAAGAAAATAGAAAACAAAATTGAAAACAAAAGCAAAATAATAGAAGCATTCTCAAAACACCACCTAGGAGAAGGAAAAATAGCTATGATAGAGCAGGACAAAATTCACTTTGGCCACTGGAGGCATAGTCACGCAGCCCTACCCCAGGTACTAGACACACCCAGAAGCAGAGCACTCCTTGCAAACATGACACTAGGCTCCAGATAAACGAGGCACTCTCCCACTAACAACAAGACCGAAAGTATATACTCAGGAGTTAATCTCCAAACCATATGGTGTCGAGGTCAAAAGAAGAAGTACCAGGGTTTCTGTTTGGTATACCGCCAGAATAGGGAAAGGAATAGAGTGGACTCCACAGCACCGCAAATTCTGGACGATGTATAGCAGAGGGAACACCACATCTATAACAAGCTCTTAAGTGGTAGTACCGACATCCGCTGATCGCTAGGGTTTAGGGTTTTAGCAAACTAATAGCAAGAGGTCAAACTAGCAATTCTAGGTCTTGTTGCCAATCTGACAGCTAAGTAGCTGAGAGGAATATGCAAGGATAGGCCTCATAGGATTGACAACAATAGATGAATAGAAATATAGCAGCCAGAATATGGGTTAGCCCAAGAAACTATAGCATCTAGCCTAACTTAGGCAGGGGTGAGGGGTGGTACATCCTTCCCATGGGAAGTAATCAACGCCGTCCGCTCGGGCCTCTCGACCATAATGGGGAGGAGCGTGTGTTAGTAACTGTATTCCTTTGACTTGCCGGTGGAATAGGAACCGGACTGATGTTCCCCAGAATGGAAGGAGGCAAAACCATAAGGTTCTGTTTTTTTTTTTTTTTTCTAACAGATGGCAGAGGACCAGAGGTCCACATACATGTGGAACGTTGACGAGAGAGAGGCCCATGGTCCAAAATCAGGAGGTGGACTTTTTTTTTCTCTTTCTTTCTGTGTAAGGCCCATTTTCTTTTTTGCTTTCATTTGGCCATATAGATGGCAGAGGAGGGGGGAGAGGAAGAGGACACGGCAAGAGAGGGAGGAGCAGAAGAACACGGTGGAGGAGGGGCAGGAGGAGATGGCCGAGGAGGAGGGGGATGGGGGAGCAGGACAGAGAGAAGGTGGCAGAGAATGGAGAGAAAAAGGAGGAGGAGGAGGTGGCTGGGGGGGGGGAAGGAGGAGCAGGTGTGCGTTGCAGCGGGCATCCGCTTGTTGCTCTCAAAGAACTTGGCTTTAGCTGTCGAAGCGCCTGGTTCTCAAAACTAAACAAAGGAGAGAATGAAAGATCAAGGCACTTGCAAAGAAATTTGGGCGTGAGCTTTCATGATTGAGGTCAAAAGTGGCTTACATGCAAATATACCTGAACAGGTGTCAACGGGGTGTCGCCATCAATCAGCGAAGCAACAAAATTTACTCCAAGAGCAACGACGTTGACTGTCAGCTGAAACTGAAGGAACTTCTGAATATTGAAGTAGACAGAACGTCCCCACCTCACAACCTGGTCACAGTCATCATTCAGTGGAAACAGTTATGACCATTGTTTCATCATTAGTATTAAAGATCAGCAAACCCTTCTGTAGAAGGCTTCACTTGCTCATATCTTGAACTCTTGGTTTGGACTGCTCACAGATTCAACACTTGGTCTCTTCCCTCAATACTAGCTGAAAGACTAGGAACCCACTGCACTTGTGGCCGCCACAGTTTCTCTTCGCAGGGAAGACAATGTCCTATTTGCTTTTGGTAAGGGACTCGCTGTTCGATCAGCTTTTTATCCTTCCGACTAATTTCCTTGTATTACAAGGGTACCTGTTGCGGCTTCGCTCGCAAAAAAAATGGAGGGCAAAAAGCAAAAACGTGAAACTGGGGATTTGGGCGAGGGGAGAGGGGGGGGGTCTCGGGGTCGGGGGGAACTTGGCTCACCTGTGTACTCCTGTTGATTTAGTCGATGCATTGCTGCTGGAGGTCAGAAAGCCTTGGGAAAACTGTCTTTTTTTTCTGTTTTTTTTTTGCTTTCTACATTTGCACGGGAGTTACCTCCGAGAGACCTGTTGAGGCTGCAGGGTTTGGTGGTTTCGCGGGGACGGGACACTTGATCATGTTGAGGGAGGGGGCGTAGTGAGTTAGATTGGGGTGTCTCTCTCTCGTGCGCGCGTGCGGTTTTTCCATTTTTGTATTTTGTATTTTTTGTTTTTTAAAGGGGTCCCGATGGACCACTGACAGATATGAAACTGATCGGAACACATACTACACTTGATCGTGTTGGGGGGCGGGCTAGTTAGTTAGATTGGGCTCTCTCTCTCTCTCTCTCTCTCTCTCTCTCTCTCTCTCTCTCTCTCTCTCTCTCTCTTGTGCGTGCGTGCGTGCGATTTTACTTTTTTCGCCCGATGGACCATGGATCAGATATGAAACTGATCGGAACAGATACTACACTTGATCGTGTTGTGGGAGGAGGGGGGGCGTAGTTCGTTAGATTGGGATCTCTCTCTCTCTCTCTCTCTCTCTCTCTCTCTCTCTCTCTCTCTCTCTCTCTCTCTCTCTCTCTCTCTCTCTCTCTCT